ATGGTTTTACCGATGAATTCTATCAAACATTAAAGAAGGAAGTAATACCAATTACGCTAATTATTTTAGAACATTCAAAAGGAAAGAGTAACTCTCAATCCTTTTTATGAGGTCAGCATAATCCTGAAATCAGAAAATGACAAAGACATCACAAAAATGAAAATTGCACAAGGCACATAGTCCAGAAAGAAAGAGGTAAATCCTTCACAAAAGTAGATTCCAAAAGTTTGACAAAACACTAACTAGCAAATTATATCCAGGAATATACAGAAAGAATAATACATCACAATCAAGTAGAATTTATCCCAAGAGGTCAATGTTGGTTAAATTTTTTTTTAAAAAAATGAATGTATTTCACCACATCAAAAGAATAAGGAAGAAAAACCTTATGGTCATTTCAACACAGAAAAAGCACTATTAATAAAAGTCAACACCCATTCATTATGAAAACTCAGCGATAATTAGGGGAAAAAGCAGCCCAATTAAGGGCTTCTATGAAAAATCCTCAGCTAACTTTGTACTTAATGACAAAAAATTAAGGCTTTCCCCTTAAGCTTGCCAAAAAAGGCAAGGACCCCCACCCTCACTACTTCTATTCAACATCGTACTTATGATCCTAGCCAGTACACCAAGGCCAGAAAAAGAAATAGCTGGTATAAACATGAGAAGGGAAAAAATAAAACTGTCTTTATTCAAAGATTACATGATTATTTACACAGAGAGTCTTAAGAAATCTAAAAAAGAACTACTAGACCTAATAGCTTTAACAAGGTAATGGGATATAAGATCAATGTACAAGAATCAACTGTATTTCTCTACGCTAGCATATCAAATGCACTGATGGAATAAAAGAACAAAGTTATACCGCTTGACTTCAAGACTTACTGCAGAACAGTATTAATCATGACTGTCTGTAATGGCCTAAGGATGCTCATATAAATCAATGGACTAGAACAGATGGGCCAGAAAAACATAAACATTTTTAAGTCACCTGATTTTTGACAAAAGTCACCAAAGCAATGCAGTGGGGAATGGAAAATATTTCCAACAAATGGTGATGAAACCACTTGATATCCATATGGAAGAGAAAAAAAAAGAAATTTAACACCTAACTTACACTATATGCAATTATCAATTTAAGGTAGCTCTTAGACCTAACTGTGAAAGCTAAAAATTATAAAGCTTCTAGAAGAAAAGAGAAAGATACCCTCATACCCTAGAGGTAGAGGTAGACAAAGGTTTTCACAAAAAAACACAGAAAGCAAGAACCACAAAAGAAGATTAATGAAATTCCTACCAAATTACCCAGAACATATTTCACAGAACTAATAAAATTTATATGGAACCACAAAAGACCCAGAATTGTCAGAGCATTACTGAAGAAAAAGAAAGAGGCTGGAGGAATAACACTCCCAGACTTCAGACAATACTACAGAGCTACAGTCATCAAAACAGCATGGTATTGGTACAAAAACAGACATATGGACCAATGGAACAGGATAGAGAGCCCAGAAATGAACCCACAAACTTTTGGTCAACTAATCTTTGACAAAGGAGGCAAGAATATACAATGGAATAAAGATAGCCTCTTCAGCAAATGGTGTTGGAAAAACTGGACAGCAGCATGTAAAACAATGAAGCTAGAACACTCCCTTACACCATACACAAAAATAAACTCAAAATGGATCAAAGACTTAAACATAAGACAAGATACAATAAACCTCCTAGAAGAAAACATAGGCAAAACATTATCTCACATACATCTCAAAAATGTTCTCCTAGAACAGTCTACCCAAGCAATAGAAATAAAAGCAAGAATAAACAAATGGGACCTAATGAAACTTACAAGCTTCTGCACAGCAAAGGAAACCACAAGCAAAACAAAATGACAACCTATGGAATGGGAGAAAACTTTTGCAAACAATGAAACCTACAAAGGCTTGATTTCCAGAATATATAAATAGCCAATATGATATAGTAAGAAAAAAACAAACAACCCAATCCAAAAATGGGCAGAAGACCTAAACAAGCAATTCTCCAAGGAAGAAATACAAATGATCAACAGGCACACGAAAAAATGCTCAATATCACTAATTATTAGAGAAATGCAAATCAAAACTACAATGACATATCACCTCACACCAGACAGAATGGCCATCATTCAAAAGTCCACAAATGACAAATGCTGGAGAAGCTGTGGAGAAGAGGGAACCCTCCTACATTTCTGGTGGGAATGCAGTTTGGTGCAGCCACTGTGGAAAACACT